ACGTACTACCTCTTCTCTCTCTCTCTCTCTCTCTCTCTCTCTCTCTCTCTGGATGTCATCCATACAATTGATGAAGTGGCTGTCCTACTGAATATTACTCAGAAGAAGGGGAACAAGAATTACTGTTCTCCTAATGTAACATATGGATAAGAACACATAGGATGTTACTGTCTTATAAAGCTTGAAATATTTCAATTCTCATTACATTTCAATACTCACCTTTCAATATTTTGAATGTTCCATCAACACCAGCTGCCTGCAAACTATCAAGAAACTAGAATCAAGATACTGATTGCATTAGTATATGGAAAAGTTGTACAGTAATAACCATTAGGAAAAATAGTATACTTGAATCTGATACAAAGAACTTAAGAAAGATGCAATATGTATCTAACATTATCATGACATATACACTACCTGATGGTTGCCTCAGATAAAAATACAGTTGTTTCCCAAATCAAAGTAGTGAAGTTGAAATACCAGAATTTATGTAATAATGCAAAATTCACTCACGCATCGATCTTTAAAGAAATTATTATTCCAAGAAACTTTTTCTAGGATTGAATTGGTGATTTGATGACATAAATATATGTGCATAAGTAAACAAAAGGAAACCAAAATTGATTACATGAGGACTGTTCATCATTAGCTGGATTAGGCTTTAATATTATCTTTGTTTTATCCATCCCATTGTCATCATATGAGCAGCATGCTCTTCAATCATAACTTGTTCTATTTATGTTGCTACATTGCACTTTACATTGTTAAGTTACAAAGTCATCCTTGCATCTTTACAAATACTTCATCACTATGCTACTCTAATTTCATCAGGACATCATGATCATCAAAGTGCATAAATTATGAAACTTCATCTTGAATGCCCCTAGTGAGTTCATCCATTATGTGCAGATAAATTATACATCGGATATTGATACTTGATTATTATAATATTGCAATAGTTAGCAAATTAATTTGTGTTGGTAATATTGTTCTTACTCTGGTAGCTATCGTAGCATGCATTTCTCCCATCATATTAATTAGAAATCTTTCTAAAAGTTCACCATATTTTCATTATATATGAAGAATCGTGTTTTCTATATTTTCTTAAAACCAGTAAAAATTATTGTGTGCCACTATTCATGCATTTCATTCATCGAAATAATTCGTAAACAACTTAATCTTTTGCTGAAACAGCTTAAAAGAATTTAAAATGGAGTCAATGAACACAATTACAATCTACACAATAATCACTCAACACAGCAAAGATGATTCTTTTCATAATGTTCAAGCTAAATTTCTTTCCTTTTTTCACTTGCAGTGGGCACATTTTCCTCGCATCCATTTTGGGTTAAACATTGATGGCAATAAGCAAGCAAAGCTTGATGAGCCAGTAAGTGCACCGGCCAATACACCTGGGGGCCAAAAGGGTCACAGTTTCTGCTGATAATTAGTATGTGTAGTGAGTAGATGCTGTTCTGCAAGTCAATTTGTAGAATATGAGCACTTCATTGTAATAGAATGATCATCTAAGCACTTTGTTATTTAATGCAATTTTCTATGTTTATGCCAACCCAATAATTTTTCTTTTTTTGCTTCTCTTCAGCATGCCTTTGCACTGGAGATCAAATCTCTGATATCATCTAAATCTACAGATTGTGAGTTGTGCTTGAAATGTCCATGAAACACTTGCAGGCTGGTCTTTATTTCTCCTCCTCTGTGATACCTATCTAGATCATGTTGGGTTCTTGGATGTTGTGTTCATTAGTAGCTGCAGCAGTGGTGTGGCCCTATGGATTCTTTGCCTATGTCCATAGAGATGGAGTTGTAATCTAACAACGGACCAAAGATATACAGCTAGGGTTAGGTTGTTCTTGGGTGTTGCACATCCGAGTAGATAATGCATGGATGCTGTAGCCTACGAGTCCTTTGTCTGTGTTCAGAGGATTGGACTTGTAATGAAGGGTTCAGCACACAGCTTGATGATGTGCTGTGGTTTTGTGAGAATGGCTTTTCTTCTCTGGGAAAACCTCACAGACTAATCCAATTGCTTCTTGAAGAGAAAGATGATATGGTCATTACTGTTCCTTCATTTCTCACCCAAACCAATGGCACACTCTAAATGCAGCTACTTCTATCTCTTGTGGGCAGATTTATCATCTAAATTGTAGCAGCAAATAGAGGGATACTAATTATCCTTCTCAAAACTGTATGAATGTCTTTGATATGTAACAAACATGATCTTAACATCATACAAATCATGTCACACATCTTGTTTCCTCCATACCTTTGAGTTGGTTTAGTTGTGTCATTAGCAGTGATTTGTGAGTGTTATTATTGCTCATTGCTGTTCTTTCGGTCAATGCTTGAAGGATAATTTAATGTGTGAAAATGAGTGTAAGCTCAATAACTAATGCATGAGAGAGAGAGAGAGAGAGAGAGAGAGAGAATCACGGTGGGAATCGGTGGGAGAATGAAGTGTCACTGTCAACAGTGATTCAGAATGTGCGAGGGACTGCAAAAATCTGTAGCTCACAACATTGCAAGGACACTCCCTCCCTAAAATTTCTCGGTCTTCTTCTCTCTGCTTTGCCTGGGATTCCACAACAGAACCATTTTGCCAATCCACCAGCTTAAGCTGCAGCTTGCAGGCCTGCTAAAAAGGCGGCCAACCATGCACTTAATTTCAAGACTACATGAAGCTACTTGTACCGTTCCTACCCATTGAACAAGCTGGTAAAGACATCCTACGTAGGAGATATGTGGATGCTTCCAGGAGATCCATTCCAATGGAGGAAGAGCAGGGAACACAGCCACTGGAGAGAACAGGCTGCACAGGCAATGTGCAGTATCCTCATCATGCTGCTTCACAGAGAGAAAGAAGTAAATGACTTTGACCTCATTACTCCACAAAAATGTAACAGTAGTCGAGACATGACCATCCTTGATTGCTTCCAAACATGCTGCTAATAAATCTTGGATGATGTATTCATTCCTGGCATCTTGAAGCAATATGCATCATCCTGCTGCTACCATTCCACTTGTTTGGGGCTTGGTGAAGGAGGGTGAGAGCTCACCATCAAGGGAAATTAGAGTGATGTTTACTTGCTATCAAACTCTTAACTTACGGCATTGTTTTCCAAGAGAAATAGTACATGAGTTGTGTTCTAAGTCATACACTGTGACATCACTCTTTGGCAAATAGCAGCTCATTCTGACAACAGTTCTCCATCCAACCTTCTGCTTTGAATTCAATCCAACTCGATCCCCGCTCTGCTTTGAGATCAAACGTGCACAGCAAGTGTTCTACGACGAGTGCGTATGTTGCATACAGTATGCATCTGAGTTCTTATTTCATTGTGGGCTTCTGTGAGAAGATTTTAACAGAGATAAGGAATCAGTTCCTGCCTTCATCAAAGATCCAAGTCACACAAACCAAAAAAAGAAAAAGGAACACTGCCTTCATCATGAATGCAGTGTGCATCCAAAAAGCATGCAGCCATACCTCATCCTATCTTGTCCTCCGGAGTCAAACATTGCTAGACTCAAGAAACCAGATGTTGTGTGCTGTTGTGTTTAGCAAATAGATGGATGAGATCTGCAGGAGGAAGCTAGCAATGGCGTTCCTCTTGCAGCAACAGTAATTGATTCCCCAGGTGGACCAGATGCAGAGCTCATGAATGTCCGAGTCCCCAATAATTCTTGTGTTGAGCTGCTCAAGAACAGCCAATAATTGGCTGTCCACCTCCCTGTTCTGGGCACAAGCATAGCTGTGTTCTGAAAGAGACCAGCCTCCTCCTCAATTCATTGCAACAAAATGTTGGGGAATCCTCCATATTCATCATGTCCAAATAAAATCATTGGATCCATAAAGACGGGTGGCATCAGGATTCAAGAATGCAGGAGTGAAGGCCTTTAACTTTTAATCACAGTCACCTTTGTTATAAGATGTTATACATCTGTTTTGCAAGATAAACAACTTAAAATCGAAATCAGAATAGGAATGAAGACCGAATGGAGCATTGGCAAATCAAAATTATGGCTGGAGAGGTCAGAGATCAAACAGATTCAGCCAAATTCTGAATCTGAACTAGAAAGAAATGGTCAGCTTGTAGTTCACAGAATAGGACCTAAAGCAGGCCAACTGGAGAGCATGATCACCTGGTGACAACCAGGCTGGAAGAAGACAGCAGCATAGGAAGAGACAGCTATGAACACAAAAGGCCGAAGACATCAATCAACATGGTGGCATATTTGCATGTTATGCCATGTTTCCACTTTCCCACAATCATCATATGCAAGGCTATTTATTTCATGCATGATACAATTATCTTCTTCCCCATGAGCTCCAGCTCTTAAATCAGAAAACAATTCCTTTTCCTGAATCAGAAAACTCATTCTTCTAATTCTGCAATGTGAAATGAGTGGAGAAGAGAGAAGGCAGTGACATAGTGCATGATCCACACACCAACCGTTCATTCTTAAACAGAAGAATCTTTGAAGGCATTATTGCAGATTGACTTTGTATCCAAACAAATATGGCTGACAACAACAAAGGGCAAAAAAGAAGCATTGCCTATACATGTTCATACACCTCAGTAATCACTGGTATCAACACTGCATACACTCAGTTCATCCCCTCCCTGCAGCATCATCATTATTATTATTAGGTAAAGAATAGAGGGGGCATATACATCTCTCTCTCTCTCTCTCTCTCTCTCTCTCTCTCTTGCTTTTACCTTTGGCTTTTTGTTCTAATGTTTTCTCTCTTATTGGCAGGTGGCAAAGTGAGAACGCTGACCAAACGCCCCGAGCAGATTGCACCCAATTTCTAACAATTTCCCTGCATTAAATTGACAAAGAATCATATCTTAGTTTGATACCATGCACAATAAAAAGACATATGCCAACTTAATTTGGTCTTTGAGAATGAATTCTTAGGGAAAAAGTTGACATTTTCCTTAGGGAATGGTTCAGAGGTCAATGTCAAACAGGGTGGGATTTTGCAGTGCCACCAAGAAAATAATTCTAGCTTTTGAAGGTGACTAATCACCTGTTTGTGTTTAAGTAATATAACACGTTAATGGTGGAGATGATCACTTCATTGGACAAAAGAACTCTAAGCATAATTCTATGGCCTCTAATTTCTCATCTATTATCACCCTACAAAAGAAAAAAGCGTAGAAAAGATGATAGATGTCTCTAAAATCTAAATTGCTGTGTGTTCTTAGAATGAATAATACTGCAAAAACCACATTGCATGTAGAAGAGAAGAAATGGTAATAATTTGCTTCTAAAGAGAGGAAAAAAACTGAGGAAATGTAGTAGTAATGGTGATAATGATTACCTCTCCTGAGCTTGGCTTTGAGCTTGGCCTTGGCCTTGACCTGGGCGACCTCGGCCTTGTGGGCGGCGGGGGAGAGGAGGGAGGCGGGGGGCGCCTCCTCATCTGGAGGGAAGAGGACGGCGTCGATACCCTGCACGGAGATCCGGCCGTCGGTGTAGATGTCCGGGTCGAACAGGTAGGCGGAGCCCTCGCCGGCGCCGAACTTGACGGAGCCGTCGGCCTCCCGCGCCATCACCTTGTGCGGCAGCCGCAGCGTGTCGTACCGGACCTTCCCGAACCGCCGGACCGCGTTGTACATGCTCTCCTCCGTCTGGTACTCGGGGATCAGGTGGTAGTACATGATGGCCTCCGGCGCCCCGGGCTCGCTCAGCTGGTCCGCGGTCAGCCGCGCCATCGCGTCGTCGTTGGGCGCCAGCACCGTCAGCACGTAGCCCTCCGAAACCAGCCTCCCCATCTCCGTCGCCAGCGACGTCAGGTTCACCAGGATGTCCGCGAACTCGTTGTAGCCGCCGTAGAGGAGCAGGGTCTGGATGAAGTCCTTCACCTGGCTCTCGCCGTCGAACCAATGCTTGCCGGAGCCGGGCCCTGGCGCGGGGGCAGGGGCCAGCGACGGCCCGGGGGCCATGGCGTCGTAGATCGGGAGCACGGGAGGGGCGCCGGCCGGGACGGGCGGCGCCGGCTTCTTGAGGCGGTGCGTCCGCGGGTCCACCTCCGGCGCACCGGTAGGGAGCACCGCGGAGATCGCGGCGAGGCTACGCCGGCGGTTGAAGTCCTCCTGCACGGACCGGGGCACGAGCAGGCGCTCGATGCCGTGGATCACACCGTCCGGGCGCACCACCGCGTCCGGGTGGACCACAGCCGCGAGGCCGACCTTCCGGTCAACCGCGGCGCCAGCAGAGGATGATGATGAGAGTTGGACGTGGTCGCCGGCGAGGGTGGGGCGGCGAGACTGGGGCCAGGAGTCGGAGGCGACGCGGGAGGGAACGACGTGGTAGAGGAGCAGGGTCTGGAGGGAGCGCAGGTTGCCAGGCTCGAGAAGGAAGCGCTTGAACTCGGGGTCGAGGTCGCGCTCGAGGGCCTCGTTACGGGGGGCGAAGATGGTGACGTTGTGGCGGCCGACGGCGGCCTCCAGCGAGGGGAGAAGAAGGGCCTTCTCCACCAGCTCCGCCAACTCAGTGTAGTGGGAGTCGAGGAGGGCGACGAGCACCGAGTTGGAATTGATCTGTCCGCCAGAGGCCGCCACAGGCAATGTGGCGACGGATTCGCGCAATGCAGGCGAAGATTCTGAGGCGGCCGCAGCGGCGGAGACGATGAGGAGAAGGAGCGCGGTAACGCCGCCGAGGGTGGCACGATCCATGGCGACGCCGAGGGCCGGGGGGAGGGGGACCTCTCGAGACACTTTTTATGGGCTTCGGCTTCTTCCTCTTCCTGTGCTGTTGATTTGGTGGCGCTTTGAGAGAGAGAGAGAGAGAGAGGGAGGGGTACTTGCAGCTTGTTCGCTTGTGCGCAGGCTTTGCAGTGAAGGCAGAGGGAGGAGCGGGGGCCCACCGGCTGGGTGAGACACGTGATCTCGACTCGTCGCCTGTAGATGCGGTAGATCTAAACATCGGCAACATCTAAAAGACGTAACTACCCTCACGTAGATCCCTAACCCAGTAATAATTCTGTGGATGGACCAGTAATTTTGCCTGACGTAAAAGAATAAGAGAAGTGCTAAAGGGACATGTAAAAGGACTTGCGACCCGCATCGGGGAAACGGAAGGCGAGGCGTCGGCGTTGCTTCCGACTTCGATGACCGTGCCACGCCGTAACTCCGCACGCGGACTTGCTTCGCTTCGGTGCTGAGTGTTTCCAGAGTCTTCTTTAATTTTTCTTTAGTAATATTATATATATATATATTCTTATAAATACAATTTCGAATTTCCTTATAAATCTGGTATATATATATCGAGTATGAAAACAGAAGGTGGGGTCTGAGACGCCAGGAAATGACTCGGGCGTAGGACCCATGAGAGGAAGGTGAGGGGAACAAAGAGGTGGTGAATTTTCGAGGGTGGCTAAATGTGAGGTTAGATTCTTTCTTTTGCCCTTGCCCTTTTGATTTGGTGATAATGGTGGGCCCGATCAGACAAACAGGTAAGCGAGTGGGTAAGAAATAAATGAACAGGGAAAAGCATCGTTTTGCCAGTGTCGGTGGCTCTCTCCACGTCGCTTAGAATCATGGAGGAATGAGAAGACTACGAGAAAGAAAAGGAAAGAATTGGCATGTCTCGTTGTTACAATGTTGATCGGTGTAGAAATATGTTTGGCTTCCACCACCTACCATTCAACTCGGATTACAGTCATGAAAAGGAACGGGAGTAGCTTACTCGCTGCCACGTTCTGATGTGGTTCTTTCGGCCATTGATGTCCTAGTGCAGCTTTCGTTTGTTTCTACGTACTACATGTTTCTGTTGGCCATTAATGTCAAAAGGCCTTTCCATCAGTAAACCAATAAAATGCCTCTGATACTGCAAGCTTTAATCAGTAGATGCAAATGCAATCCACTTACTGACTTGATAGGCTAACTACTGTCTTTGTGGACTCCTCCTAAGTCAAGAGGCTTATTAATTATTAGAACAAATGCAACTCACTCCTCTTCTTCGTATAGAATAATAGCTAAGCAATTTTCACGTCGCATGGGTCTAAAAATTGATATATAAGTCTCACCAACACCTTGTAGGGTTCGACAGTAATATTCAAACATAATATAATTCCATAACGTGCTCAGAGATGGCCTTAATTTTTCTTTTCCCCCTCGATTATTTAATCAATTAATAAATTGTTTGGCCGGCAGAGCCAATGACTCCAATGACAACCAGCATGATTAACTATCAGTCTCTTTTGAGGCTGATGTGATTGAAATAGGCCATTCTTTGGATCAATGGAATCCACATCAAGTCGTCCATTTCCATCTGAATGATAAATATTCTTTTGCATCTCTCATTCTGCTTTTGTCTTATCAGATCACTTTTATTATATATATATTATTTTCTCTTATCAGGTCATACAGTAATATTTTATTCATCAAGAGTAGGATAGGATAGGACGTAGAGAAAGATACTCCATGTGCATGAAAAATGAAGAGAAATATCAATTACTAATAAAAGGAGAATTATTGATGAAAGCTTTTCTTCTAATGATGGTATGTATATTCATCAAATCCCATTGAAGCTCTGAGTCTTGTCGAATACAAACTAACCAAGAAGGTTAATTCAAATCCCTGACATGATTATCTCAAGTCAAAACAGCATTAAATTTCCAGCCAAATAGCTTTACATCACACAATTTTAGGTTCTTGCTGTATCCTTGATTTCTTCTATCCATCAATGTTCTTTGATGAAGCAACATTTTTAGACTTTGGGCTTTAGGGGGGCCAATTCTATATATATAGCCGGGGGGCCAATTATTAATAACATAATGATATCTTGGAGCAGGCAAAAAGCATCTGGATTGGGTTTTTTTCTTTCTAAATCAGTTCAATCTGAATGATGAGATAGATTACATGAGGAGAATGACCAGCCTGTTATGCTGCCAACAAACTGTAGCAAGTTAAATGCTCTGATGAAACCTAACACAGTAAATAATATTTTCACACAAGTCTAAGAGGAAAATATTACTCTTGAATTTTTCAGAAGGTGCCTATTTGCTGCTGCTTCTGTGTAAGAAAAGAAAGAAAACCAAATTTCTACAATCTTCTATTTGACAATCCATAGTTGTTTGGGTACAAGAATTTGTTCTTCAGAGTTGATGCCACTAGTATCTACCTGCAGGAGATACGACATGGATGAGCTATTCTAACATCCGCCCAGGCCCTCAAACATCTTTTAAACCGACACACAACTTTTCTCTTCGGTGTTTACACCAATCTAAAGCAATCAAACTGAAGAAACGAAAACATAGAAGCCAAGATGTGTTTGGGATGACCAGGTGCCTCTGGATCAATCCTCTTATCCTCCATGCAGCTTGCTTGGAGGCAGCAGTGCAATCACTCATTCACACTTGGCAGCAAGAGAAAGAAACAAGGAAAGAGAAGCAATTTCCGTATACAGACTGTCGTCTTGGGGTGGGGGCGGCTGGGGTTCTACCTTACATGTGTTCTTTATGTAACTTGTAATCCCTGCTCTCTGGGTAATTCCATCTCGAGTGTCGGTTCAGAAGGCAGCTGCTTTGCTTAGCTTCATCAACTTCTCCTTCTCAAATCCATTATAATAATCTGTCCATATTCTATGGGCAAATTGATTCCTGGCCTTGACTATTTTCTTCGTCATCAAAACGATACATCCAACACCATCTCAGACTTCTCACAAAATATTTGTTGCTCTGGTAAAAAGCCTCAAACAGTTCGAATAGCTTGTTCTACTGCTCTTAAGTCTGACATTTGCTTGACTCTTTAGGTTAATGATGCAAATCAATACGAGCAAAATGGGTGTCAATATGTTTCTGGAAATTAAACGTTAAATGCCTAGAGAACTTCATGCAAATCCAAGGTAGATCAGTGTTAGCCATTTTCTTGACTCTATTTGATGATGCGAACCACCTTGCAATAATGAGTTGATCTGTCACAATCATTGAAAGACATAATACTTATAGTCCTAGTCTTTGCTACAATATTTAATCCAACTTAGACTACTAGGGAACATATTACCAGGAAGAATCAGCAATCATTACCTTTAATTTCTAGAGATTAATTCACTGATATTCTTCCTAAAATTACATATGGTAAATTCATGACTATTATTGTCTTACGTCCTCCCATAAATGATTGCATTAACCAGAAAAACTAGCAAAAGACTTCCCCAGTTTTACCCAACAGTATTCATGACAATTATTTTTTTAATTCCGACCATAAATCATTGCATTAACTAGAAAAATTAGCAAAAGACTTCCTTAGTTTTACCCAACAGTTTACAATGATAAGACCGTAATATAGCAGTACATATAGAAGCAAAATGTTAGGTAGAATGCTAATAGCACACACACACTCTCTCTCTCTATATATATATATATATATATATATATATATATATAATCATAATAAAGATGCAGCAATCCAATGGGCGTTGAGATTGATATATTTGGACAAACAACTGATGGCAGTGGTCAGCTTTAGAAAATGATGTTCATACTTGTCAAGTTAGATTTGTACTATGATACTTTTCATTTGCCTAACCATCACTGTTCTTAGCTTTGGTACATAGTTTTGAATTTTCTAGACTTGATAAGTTCTTGGTCTACATCATCCACCTAAAACTTCTTTCATCTTTTGTCACTGAAGCTTAACTGACTTCTGCAAACTACTATGACCAATGCACAGGGAAAGGTACATTAGTTCGGTATTGTCTCAATGCACATAATTAGTTATCTTAAAGAAGTGTACATAACCATTGATTTCCCTTCACATTAGCCTCTCTTAACAGCTTTCATCAGGAATCAAAACTTAAAGTCATCACCATTACAAGCCTAGTGATAGTTATCATATCAATCAAGCAATCCAAAACACCATGTATATATGAAACCTAGAGCAGAAAGAGAAGCAAAGGAACACCTAGAATTGTCATCAGAAGAGGAGATATCTCTCAAGAAATATTTTGTTTCCATATGATCTTGGACTGGAATTCCTATCATGACAATAATTGTATGGCCTCTGTGATTTTTTTCTTTTCGTTCAAAAACTACATAGAGCCATCCGGTTCGACAACCAAGGTAAGAAATTGAATCCAGGGAATCCACAGTCGCAGCTATGATTCAGCAGATGGCACAAAGCTGTTGCCTTCAACATGTAGGTGTGGGCGTATTGACAGGGACATGAATCTAAGAGGATTCAGATACAGAACAGACTAATCCTTCCGATTTGCCCTATAACAAAATATTCCACAAAAAAGTAGTGTATTTTTGTTACTTTGTACAACAAAATCTCGGCCAACTCCACCGATACTTTACAGGGACGACATCATCCTACGCCTCCGATACTCCTTATTGTTCGACGACGGCTCCATCACGTCGGGGGCAAACCTCACCTTCTTCTTCGGCCTGTTCCTTTCACGACCTATCCAAGTTCGATTGCAGAGCAAACTAAATGCTTGTACGTGGCCTAAACGACACAAATCGAGGAGGAAGACTAAACCGAGAGAGAACTCCACTTATCCACTACTCCCCAAACCAATCAGCACAAGAAGCAGTTCTCGAACATCTCATCAATGCAGTCGACATGAGGGAAAAACAAGAAGCGGAATCAAGAGACAGGTGGCGAAGACATACCGATTTCGGATTCGAGCTTCTTGATGAAATCGGAGGCGAGGCGCTTGTGGATCTGGAGGACGACGAGGGCGACGCTGCTGGAGACGGCGACGACCACCATGAGTCCCATGCAGTTGGAGCTCTCCATCTCCTTCTTTGGTATCTATGTTATGCCTTCCTGGTCCCTCTTCCTTCGAGCAAGACTACGAATCCATGAGGACGGAGGAGGAGGAGAGAGAATTGGATTTGGATTGGGAGAAGCGCTGCGAATGCGGGAAGGGGATGAAACAGGGAAGAGGAAGGGCCGGGAAAAGCAAAGGGTTGGGCTACATTTAGACGAGGGAGGACACGCTTTGGAATTTGATGAATCTTCGTTTGACTTCGTTCCAACAATACTCTCACCACTCATCGGGCGGTTCCCCAATTCCTTAGCTGGTCTTTGATTACCAAGAGATTGGAGACCGTGCGGGCCCGGGTAAATTACCCCAATCACAAGGCTGGTGTAAAAGATGAGGTGGGCTCGTTTGGCATTTGCTGAATTCTTGCTTGACTCCGTCGGGAGGTCATCGTACGAGAGCATGTTACTCGCCCCCGTACCTGCTTTCTGATCCCCCGTGGGACCCACGTAGATGATTGAGTGGGTAAGCGGCTGGGGTGTTAAGTTTAGACACACAAACGAGTTCTCATTTGGCGTCGTGGCGCCACCATCAGGAGAAATACTTGTCCTTGCCTGAGGACGCCTTGCCGTCGAACGGTACTGCTGGGCCCATCCTAGAATCCATTAACGGTTGAGGTAGGTGAATCGGGTACATGTCGAAGAGGACGAGAAGTGTTGTCTGGAAGACATTGTTAACCGTCTCTTCGGAGGGACGCCACCTCGGCCGTATCGTCGGGTGAAATGAAATGACCCAAATGCCCTCCTGTGAGAGATTCTTCTTCTCTTTTTTCTGGGTTGACTCATTTCAATTTGGATGTTGATGTTGACCGGATCAGTTTCCCAAAAATTTGATCCATGTAATTATCTTCATCATTCTAAAATAAACAAATAATGCTGCTAAAAAATTATTTATTTATTTAGTTAGCATGTGTCACCATAATAAACACAATTTATTTATTTGTTTGTTTGTCAACATGTGTTGACTTTGGATTTCCAAGTCAAACCAGTAAATTTCATCATCTTAATCCAAAAAAAAAGGGTTAATAGAACAAATGCAGTAAGATGATGGGTTAAATATCATGATTTTAATATTAATATTTTGCTAGTGGTCTAATCCATACATTAATTATATATGACCAAACATGGAGAAGTAGGGAACACACTACAGAATGAAGTCATAGTGTGGGGATTAAGGTCAAGAGGACCACAAAACCTTCACTATCTGGTTAGCACACATATCACACTGTATACTATCAGAAGGGTGGATCCTTCTAGACCTGAAAAATGTCAATAATGTGAGGTTACAGTGAGCTCGCATGTAATTAATGTGCCTTCAACTATAATGCAGTGCCAAATTTCAAGCTGAAGTTTGACACAGATGCATGGATAGCATTCAGTGTCCGAAAAGTTTGGGACCAGATGTCTTTGGAGGACCACACAGTAGATCGTGAGCAGAGCAGAGATAAGAAACAGTACTGATGTAGGACAGGAAGAGGAAGTGAACAGTAGAAACAGAGCATTCTTGAATTTTTTTCTCTTTTTTTTTTTTCCTTTTTTAAGCTGTATCAATCAATATAATGAAACAAAGAAATGATCAATACACGTCGTCTTGCCTTCTTGAAGAAGTTGTACGAGTTTTTGTGTCTGTTCCTGATTCCAAAGTGAGCAAATATTGAGGTATTGGAAGATGGTGCTGATGAAATGGATAATGAGGTGACATGTGCAACAATTTAAGAACAGTGCAGCTGAAAGAGACTGTCTGATCCTTTTTGATGGCTTGTTAGGGTTTAGTTGGAGCTGAGAAAACTGGGGAGAGGTTGAGTAAAAACACCATAAGACACACCATAAGAGAGGAAGAAGAAGATAAGACACACCATAAGAGCAAAGTAGATGACTCCCAGATCTTATATAAGACATCAGACCTTCAAATCTTGATTCCTATGAGTTTAGAAAATGTTTCTATGGTCCAAAAATGAAAATTTGATGGAAATTACCAAAAATGAGATCTTTGAATTAGATCAATGCTTGAATTCACAGTAATTTGTGTTGGACATAACATAAACTATTGTAACAGTTACCAAGATTGTAAACTCATAACTGCAGTAAATGCATGATTCATTATATTTCAGCAAATAATGTGTTCTTGTTTCTCTCTCATGAGTCTCTTCTGCACAAGGAATGAAGGTATCTCTTCCAAGAACCAAATTTTACACAGTACACTGCACACAAAATTTTATTAAGAGGGCTTCAATAACAGAGAAAAACTAATAGGTAAGCTCTAATATCAAGCATTTGAGATTTTGAGGGACACTAAAATCTCAAACATGATGGAAAAGGAAATATAGAACATAACATGGATACATATTTTTCTTGCTGAGATGTAGACTAGTCTCCAAGCATTTTACACATGGATGCTGATTCCAGACACACTTGAACCTTTTTTTCTCAGCACATAGAGATGTGCTAATTATTAGGAGACACTCCCACACTATATCATGAAGATGAAGATGATGATCATCTCCCAACACAATTCATGTGGCTAGAAAACGTAGGGAATCAAAGCCTTGACTTGTTTAGGGAAGTTCTCGAATTTGGAGAGGTACCATCTCCTTGTTGCATAACTCCTGCCCATCAAGTACCAGAGTGTCCCCAGTGCAAATAAGAAGGAATACAGAGTCTGGGAGATGAGGCAGAACCCAATGAAAATAATTATCTCGAAAAGGTAATGTGGACAGATGACCAGTCCAAACAGGCCACCCTTTGGGATTTTGTATGTCTTGTCACCCTTCTCCCTGAGCTTGGAAAGCAGGTAATGGTGGTAGAAGTTGCCTGTGATCCCTACCAGGAAAAACACCTCCCCTGCAACCTTCAGATCCAGTTTTGGCCCTGGCATTCCCTGGGTGAGATACTGAGCATAGATCATGCACACAGTGCCCGTGAAATAACTTAGGGTTATCGGGATGACTGAATCCAGTATCATATTTCCACTGTATTGGTGGATGAACAACACCTGAAAGAATAAGCAGCTCAAGAGAACATAATCAAGATAGAGATGTATAGGATTTTTGCAGAATATAGGCATAGATTCGGTGTGGGAGGGGGAAGAGAGTTCTCCATAATATTCCATCAACTCCTGGCTATGCATACCTCGAAGTCTCTCTTGAAGAAATGGAGGGCGAGGGCGAGGGCAAGCAGCCGGCACCGATCGTCGGCAACGACGGCGGGGACGGCGAAGGCGACCGCGGCGGCCGCGAGCGCTGGCGTGTAGAGGAGCAGCATGCCGACGCGGCTAGAGACGCGGATCTGCTCGCCGGAGGGGCCCGAGCCGGCGTTCCAGAACTTGGAGTACTGCAGGTGTTTGCCCCAGGCTTCTGAGAGGCCGAAGTAGACGAGGGCGCCGCTGCTGATCGCGGTCATGGCCGTGATGATTGCCGAGGGCGGCGGCGGGTAGAGGAAGCCGGACAAGATCGACATCTCCTTCCTTCCCTACAAACACGATCGATGAAGAGAGAGAGAGAGTGCGCTTCGTGGCTTTAAGAGGCGAGCACGCGAACCACATGGCATTGACATTGGATGGACATTTTGATGCGAATGACAGGTTAGAGGAATATTGATGATGTGGCCTAATAGTGTTATGATGTGATCATTCTGCGATGTCCACATGGCAATAGATTCTTACTGTGCAAACACGATCGATGAAGAGGGAGAGTGTGTGCAGATGAGTGCGCGCGCGCGTACGTACGTGGCTTTAAGAAGGCGAGCACGCGAATCACATGCCATTAACATAATTGATGAATAGTTGATGAGAAGGCTTTAATACTGTTATGATGTGATCAGTCTGCGATGTCGACGTGGAGTTCGGTGGACCTCAGTGTTTGATTGGAGATGCTTCCCAGCTTGCATCCCCACACCATTCTTTTGTATATAATGAAAATAAAACAGATTGATTATATATATATATATATATAAATATCATTACGAGTTATATGGATTCCTATTATTTATATAAAAATACATTAATTAATTCGAATATCTTAATAAAGACAAAAAAAAAAAGGATTGGCATTAGTCTGAATTTTCACTTAGAAACTCAAATTAGATGCCTCAAGAGATACCCTAGCAAAAATGAGACACAGAACAAAACATTATTCTCTCACAAGTAGGAAAAGGACAGGAACAAGAGAGAGAAGCAATGAACAAGAAGCTCAAGAAACCAACATAAACAATAAATGGTGTTCTAACCAGCATGAGAGGACCAGATGACCTAGCAAAAATGAGAAACAGCACAGAATACTATTCTCTCACAACTAGGAAAAGGAAAAGAAAATGAGAGAGAAGCAAAGAACAAGAAGCTCAAGAAACCAACATAAGCAATGAATGTAGTTCTAACCTGCATGAGAGGACCAGATGACCTAGCAAAAATGAGAAACAGCACAGAATACTATTCTCTCACAACTAGGAAAAGGAAACGAAAATGAGAGAGAAGCAAAGAACAAGAAGCTCAAGAAACCAACATGAGCAATGAACTTAGTTCCAGAAAATAATGTAACCTGCATGATAGGACCAGATATCCATCCTACAGACGGTCCAACTCAAGACTTCATTATGTAACCAAATGATAAACAAACAGTGACGCTCTTGGTATCCATATACACATTACATAAATAGAAAAAAAAGGTACAGAGAAATCACACAGGTGCACAATTGGAACAGTACAATTTCATCATCAGATTGAAACCAACATGCTTTTCGAATATCAATCCTAAGAACTAAAGAGCAACCCTCCCCAGACAAGCTCATGGTTTACTTGTAAACCATGTGGAACACCTCCAAGCCCAAAAAACGATTACAAGAGGAAAAAAAAAAAGAAGCAAACTTGGGACTCGAACAGATCCTCACGAAAAATGCACTCCCAAACATGATGATTTGGTTAAACAATATCATGATTTACATTTATCTTATTCACTTTGAATTCAAACAAGTCAAACATAGTCAAATTCACCCATGTGTTCTTGTGACACACTTCCAGTTGCTGATTCGATGTGTCTTGTCTAAAAGCAGCAGCAATCCAGCATTGTTATTAGATGACCCAAAAGAGTACCTGTAACATCCAAAGGTATAGCACCATCACTTGGCTTTTGGATTAAAAAAGGAAC